CTTCACTGCAGGAAAAGAATGGCACTCTGTGACCTCTGCAGCAGAGATGCTATATTAAGGCGGAGAATGTGGATACAGTGGGTATTCAAAGTATTCAGACCCTCATCGCTCTTTGTTGTTTTGCAGCCATTTGCTAAAACCATTTAAGTTCATTTTTTCCCCTCATTATTGTACACACAGTAGGGGTGTGCAAAAAAATCGATTCACATTTGAATCGCGATTCAATCTTTACCGATTCAGAATCGATTCATAGAATTCCAAAAATCGATTCATATATATATTTTAATGGCGTGCAGGGGCGGAGTGGCAATCGGGTGAGTCGGGACTTTTACCGGTGGTCCGGTAGTGTTTCTATGGTTTCGAGGCTGCGAGGGCTGGTCTGATAAATAGTTATTGCAAGTTCTTGCCGCCCGCTGGTCAAACTGTGCAGCCACTCTGCTCAATAAATGCATCGATCCGCAGATCTTATGTTTGAGTTCTGTAGATCTTTTGCCAAGCGTGTCAGAGGTTACGGGTTCTAAACCGCACTCGTATAGTTTTTTTCTCTCTCTCATCAAAACCGAATATGCTAATAACGTTTGTGTGCATTTTAATTTGTGATTTCACCGGAGTCTCCACAACGGCGATAGATTGAAGCGCGCGTCCGAGAGAAGACTGCGCGAGCCACAGAGAACTGTATCCATGACACTGATCGCAGCGGACACGAGCGCTCAGCTTGATTTCAAAAACAACAGGTCTCTTATTTAATAGCGAACTAAATGATTGCTCTGCTAGTTAACTGGAGATACCCACACAAATGACGCGCCTATGAACGACTTCACTGGATCTAAACAAATCAATCTAGCCATAGATGTTACCAGTAGCGGTGGCTTTTTTTAAATCTATTTAAAATATTTTCGCAAGGGTTCTATGAAATTAGTATATATTTTTAGGAAGTTCAATGTGCCCAGTCGAGTTCACATTTCAACAGTCAACCTGGTAGCTGAAGTAGGCCTATTCCTTAAACCACATTTAGCATAATTGTTTGTTTGATCTGACTACAGCACTTTAAAGCTAAATGTAAGCTTTTTATTTAAGTTTTATTTTAAACTTGAATTAAATGAATTTAAAAGCTGGCCAAAGCTTGGCACTTCACACTTTTTAGTTGCAAAAGTTTTTATTTTTGTATGAAGACATATAAAGTAATATCAAACTTTTCTTTTAAATTATGTCTACTGCAGTCAATCACATTGGAAAAAGTAAACTACATTTATATAGACCTGCGAATCGTTTTTTTGAATCGAGAATCGTTTTTGAATCGGAAATCGATTTTGAATCGAATCTCGAGACAAAAAATCGGTATCGAATCGAATCGTGACATTTTCTGAATCGTGCACCCCTAACACACAGCATCCCATATTGACAGCAAAACACAGAATTGTTGACATTTTTGCACATTTATTAAAAAAGAAAAACTGAAATATCACATGGTCCTAAGTATTCAGATCCCTTGCTGTGACACTCGTATATTTAACTCAGGTGCTGTCTATTTCTTCTGATCATCCTTGAGATGGTTCTACACCTTCATTTAAGTCCAGCTGTGTTTGATTATACTGATTGGACTTGATTAGGAAAGCCACACACCTGTCTATATAAGACCTTACAGCTCACAGTGCATGTCAGAGCAAATGAGAATCATGAGGTCAAAGGAACTGCCTGAAGAGCTCAGAGACAGAATTGTGGCAAGGCACAGATCTGGCCAAGGTTACAAAAAAAAAAAAAATTCTGCTACACTTAAGGTTCCTAAGAGCACAGTGGCCTCCATAATCCTTAAATGGAAGACGTTTGGGATGACCAGAACCCTTCCTAGAGCTGGCCGTCCGGCCAAACGGGGGAGAAGAGCCTTGGTGAGAGAGGTAAAGAAGAACCCAAAGATCACTTTGGCTGAGCTCCAGAGATGCAGTCGGGAGATGGGAGAAAGTTGTAGTAAGTCAATCATCACTGCAGCAATCCACCACTCAGGGCTTTATGGCAGAGTGGCCCGACGAAAGCCTCTCCTCAGTGCAAGACACATGAAAGCCTGCATGGAGTTTGCTAAAAAAAAACACCTGAAGGACTCCAAGATGGTCTGATGAGACCAAGATAGAACTTTTTGGCCTTAATTCTAAGCGGTATGTGTGGAGAAAACCAGGCACTGCTCATCACCTATCCAATAGCTGGGTTTCAGTCACATGATTATGATGACGCAAGCAATTCAGATGGAGGGCAAGGAGTAAAGAGCACAATGGACGAGATGGAGGAAAGTACGTACTGTACTACTTTACACGCTATTACAAGAGAAAGATATAAACAAAAAATCAAACATATGTTGGACGTGATCCTTACGCTATTAAGAGGAACAATTTTGAATTGAATTGAAACTGAATTGAAAGATTTTCCAGCCATTGAGGTGGTAGATATCAGCAACTACCTCATCTTACAGACATACTTTGACTTTACAAAGTTCGGAAACAGTACATGTTACACAAACATAGCCACTTAAGTTGTATTAACTCACCTTTGACGAAGTGATCACTGCACACACAGGCATTTTCCCATTCGGCTCCTCCCGACCGCAGACGTAGTTTTGCAAGTCATTTTTTTCCAGAGTCAATTTTTTTCCGGTCAATTTCTAGCATTTCCTCCCTTTATGAACAACAACTTTTGGTACACGATAAAAACTCCTCATGGTTTGATTGATTTAAGTAACGATAAACAACGCCAAACATAGGCATTTTGAGTTTGTTATAGTTCTTTCTAAATATACGCAAATCACTTCCTGTCCTCCATTTGCATTTCGCACCATGGCAATGCAGTGGCGTGACGTCATATGAAAACAAGCTATACAGTCTCAACAGTGAAGCATGGTGGTGGCAGCATCATGCTGTGGGGGTGTTTTTCAGCTGCAGGGACAGGACGACCAATCGAGGGAAAGATGAATGCGGCCAAGAACAGGGATATCCTGGATGAAAACCTTTTCCAGAGTGCTCTGGACCTCAGACTGGGCCGAAGGTTCACCTTCCAACCAGACAACGACCCTAAGCACACCGCTAAAATAAAGAAGGAGTGGCTTCACAACAACTCCGTGGCTGTTCTTGAATGGCCCAACCAGAGCCCTGACTTAACCCAAGTCCTATTAGGCTCACATCCAGGACAATAATGCAAGGAACAACCAAATAACAATGTCCTTGAATAATGGATTGCAGACCACCATGCCAGGTTCAGTGACACCAACATCCTGCTCGTCTGGGATGATGTAAAGCAGATAGTCTCGGATGCTGTGTATATTGTGTACTGTACATTTCACAGCTTAAGCAAATTCACTTTTTTGTTGCTGTGGTGGTGTAGATGCAAAAGCAGAACAGAAAATATGTCAAATATTTATAACAGAATTCTGGCAAGAGAATTCAAGAGGAGTTATCCATCATGTAAGTCATTCAGTTCCAGTATTTGTTTTTTAAATGGAACCGAATTAGAATAAGAACTGGTTCTCGGTTCTTAGATCAGGTAGTGCTGTTCCTGAGGGAAAGGCGGTACCTGGACCTGTTTGAAGGACATCTGTAGCTGTCAGTGGGGCAGTTAGTGAGCTAGATCTGTCTGAACTGGTCTGTACTTCTGTGTGGCAGCTCCCAGCGAGAAACAGATGAATAATAAATGAGTGTGGGAGACAGAGAGGTAAGGAAACACAGAAAGAGAGATTCCTATCGAGTCTGTAGTATGTCTTCAGGTCTCACGGTAACAGCTAAACAAATGTTTTGTAAGTGTCTGTTGAAGCTCAAACCTGTTTACAATAGCTCTGTTCCAAAGGATAGTGTGCTGACTCGCTTCCTACTGACTATAGAGGCAGCTGTCTTCTAAAGCGAAATTTTGCGCTAAAAGGGGCAATTGTATTTGGCAATAGTGTTGTGATGTATGAAGCACAGCTCTCACAGAATCACTATCAAACCAAGCAGCTTTCTTTTGGTCAATGGCAATACTGCAAATCTGTGTAACCATCTTTAAATTATTGCGTTGGAAAATATTTCACCCTCACACGAAATTTACAATCTCATGGATTCCTACTGATGACTGGATTTCGCCTGCATAAAAACTGCCATACAATGGTAAATGGGACCCCACCCTAACTGTCATAAGACAGAAGACTTTACATAAAAAATAACACCAGAAAACTCTACATTCACATTTGATTTTAATCGAGAAAGCATGTTGCATTAGTCAGCATTAAATGAAAATTCACTATTTTGTGAATCACTATGATTCATTCAAGTATGTTTAATTATTTTTCTTGACCTTGTTGAACCCATTGCAATACATTCTAGGATTGACTCCTTTCCAAAGTGAAGTAGCCTGGTTAAAACCAAAATATTCTCAGTTGTAACTGAGTTATGGTCTGGCAAAGCGTCAGACAGATCATTTCCAGAGGGGCGTCACCAACGGACGTCGCGGATTGACCAAACAAAATCAGAGCGATAAAGGAGATGGTGTATCCTGAGTAGCGGAGAAACATCTCAGAATGTTGTTCTTTGCTCGGTTTCTAACAAAAAGGAAACGTTCAAATCGCTTAAAACAGACCCAATAGCTGATTCGAACGAGTGATGTTCGACAGCGGCATCCATTTTTGTAATGTAGGCTACAAAATCTGCTTCAAATCCCAGCGCTGTCGTCATCGTGTAAAGCCCGCCCCAACGTTTCTGATTGGTGCCGCGATTTCGACGGATTGGAAATGGGCTTGAATGAATCAACTTTTAGAGCAAATCTAAATTTGCTGGAAGTTGTCTGGGTTTTCCCAGGCTAAAATTGAAGTAATCTGAGAATACAATTAAGACCATATTTTGGAACATTCTTTGAGTCAGGTGATGGTTTAAAAATGCAATAAAAATCAGAAGTTGAACAAATGTGTCAAGTTGGCAATGAAGTAAACAGAGAGAGTGATGTGTCGATGTGTGTGAAAGAGTATGTGTAAGAGAAAGAAATACACTCGCCTCTCTGAGCATGGGGTCAGATATGGAGCTGAGGTTGACCGCTCCTTCATAAGTCAGGTAGTAGAAGACATTGAGAGCTCTGATGGCCTCAGGTCCCTGCTGCTTGTATCCGAATATCAGATCAATCCACTGATGCAGCTGACAGGACACAAACTCACTCTCCAGAGCCTATACAAACACACAGGAGATAAAACAAATGTCATTCAAACTCAGTGAAACAACAAGATTGAGAGAAGACCCAGCCCAAAAGAACTACATGAAGATTCTGTAGGTAAAAAAGCTAAATAAAAAAGCTAAATCGAGGGTAGTTAGTGAATAAGACACAGTGAAATACGACATGGCATGACTGCTAAGTGAATTCACCACAGATTGTGATATATTTGTTATTTTTTTACATGCCCAACAACTCATGGAGAGTTCCTCCGAGAACGTAACCAAGTAGCATGGGTAACGGGGATCTGTCAAAATGTGCTTTCAACAGTCACAAATGACATAATACACACAAATTACAAGCATATGCTTCCACTGGAGCAAAGCAGATCGTCTTACATGAGCAGGACGAGATATCTTTGCTCCTTTGTTTAGTCTCATCCTCTGCGTGCCATGGGGCGTCTGAGAGCGGTGTTGTTTTCGGAGCTATGATTGTTCTTCGACTGTCATAACATCGAAACACAAGCTGTTTCTCTCTTCATTAGCCGCCAAAGGAGGGCCTCTGTTTATGACTGCTCATAAAAAAACAGCAATAGTGTTAATTTGCTCAAAGCTGTGTGGGCACAAAGGCCTCTAAACGAGCCCAAATGAGTATGAGAAGAGCCTTGATTGTCATTGCTGCCTTGTGTCACATTAATTTCGAGACAAACATTAGGCCCTGCACTTAAAGAGCAATTTATATTATTTAAACGCTTACCGGAAGGGTCTTAGCATCACTCATTTAAATGTGAATTCGCTGACAGCTAATTTCGCTTAATTCGCACTCCAAGCTTTCTTAATTAGAACTTTAAATCAAGAGCAATGAGAGATGCTGTAAAATGTGGCATTTTGCAATACGACAACAGGTTTGACAGCAAACTGGTTCAGCTCTTATGGAGTACTAACTTCATGATACACGATATTACAAGATAGCAAAAAGTTCCGAGATGAAACCTAAAACCTAATTTCTTAAGAAATGAGATATTCTGTTTGTTTGTTTTTAGCTTGCACAATGTGTATATCCTATGCAAATTCACACAAAGGTGAGAAATAATTGCTTAGTTTACAATCAGGACGGTACTCACTACTGCTCACTCTATAGTACATAATTTTACTGTTACATACTTTAAAATAAAAAAAAGAAATGTAATAAAATATAAACAAAACATTTAATAAAATGTAATATTTGATAAAGGGTTTAATATTTTTCTCTTTTATTGTTTTACTACCAATGCACACAAGCACTTGCCTAAAACATGCAGATTTATTCCAGTTAATCTATTTGTCTACAATTTTATTAAAAAGAACCTGTTCCTCTGAGTCTTTGGAGGGATTTTTTTAGTTTATTATGTGGATGGATTGACCCCGCATTGTTCCACGACTTGTCTATTTCCAAACTTAATACAGGGGCTGATGGGCATTTAATGTGGGCCTCCATCTTGTGTCAATCAGCGAGGGGAAACAAAGAGGAGGACAATGTTATTGGACACCAACTCTCCAGAGGACTACCTTTATGTTAATCAAGGAACTCTAAAATCAGGAATGAGATGGGAACCCCACTCAGGGAGACCTGACCTCATCAGAGATGCAGAGAGCGTTTGGTAGGGTCTCCTGAGGCAGGGGTGTCACTCTGAACCCATGCTCTTTCATCAAAAGAGGAGGGGGAGATGTGTACCTACAACATTAGATTCCTTTTTAAAAATCACTACACCACTCACGTTAGCCCAGAGGGCATGTGCGTATGTATATACAAATAAATGTAAGTGTTTTTGCAGTAAAATATATTAGGTTAAGATGTTTAATCTGACAGAAGACTCTTTTTATAAATGTGACTGTCTCTTACAAAGCCAAGCCAAAAAAAAAAAAAAAAAAGGCTATTTAATTTATTTAAGGCTATTTCTTTTTTTCTTTTACTGATTGGCCAGTTTACAAAATAAAACATTCTAGAGATTTCTAAAGGATCGGAAACAATATTAATGAATGTGTGACGTTGTCTGGCAGTGCAGGTTTTTAAAATAATAGTTTAACAGGCATGACAATTCTGTAATATTTACTCATTCTTCTGTCTTTTCAAAATTATAGATAATCAATGGATTTTTTTTCCTCTTTTCTGTTCATCATAAAATGCCCTATGCGTAAGCCTTTGACAACTTTTATAATATTTGTATGGTCCTTTTGGAGCTTGACAGCTTTAGTCACTATGAACTACTGTTGTATGATTATAAAAAATATGTCCACACAGAAGAATATCTACGGAAAAATATCAGCATACTCGTCGAGAATGACACGAGGGAGAGTAAATAATAAAAATCTTTATTTTTTTAGTTGAACTATTGCTTTAAATTCATGTATATGTACAAAAGAGGCCCAGGAGTGTGTGAAATGCAGCTCATTATCTAGAGAGCATTATTGATGTGCCAATTAGCAGATGCAGTATGTCCCATAAAACCCACTGGGAATCATCAGCATTATGGAAATGTGTGTGTATGTGTTTGTGTGTGTAGAGGTACTGCCGACTGTGGGGTGAGGTATCACAGCTGCTGAATAAAAAAAAAAAAAATGGATTCAATTTTATTTCAGCTCTGCTTTTGTACAAAGGAGAAATGCTATAAATGCAACAAAGAATGAATTTGAGCTTGGCTGAAAACAAAAAGCACTTTGAAAAAAATAATTTTATGGAATAAATATAGCAAAATATCATTAATTTAATGCAAACAAATGACACCGGAAACTAGCAGATTTAGTAACTTATAATACCACCTCACATTTGCCAAAAAACCGACAAACTGTAAATGTAAAAAGCATGTTAGTGTAATGGTACCATTATCTATTCTCTTCTCTAAAGGAACCAAATTATGACCAAGTCTCTGGGAGTATCTGAAAGTTATGGAAATGTCATTTCCAAAAACTACTTCAAACTTTATGTTCAAACTGACAAGCTCATTGAGACATAAAACAGCATTGAAGACTTTGTTATAACAGATCTTTCATTTTCCCCCCTATTTTCTTTTTACAGAGAAACCCTACAGTACACATAGTTCTGTTAGACACTAATGATACTTTCAAACATGTCTTTTTACGAGATGGATCTCTCTGAGCTCTTTATGACTTTCATTGACCATTTCCCTGTCTTTAGCAGCCTTTTAAAAGCATTTTAAGGACTTAGAGGTAACCTGTCTGTGGCCATGTTAAAATGTCACATAACAAATCAATCTGGCTGTTTTGCATTAGAATACAGGGCTGTCAAGGGAGAAGGAGTGAGATGGCGAACACACGAGCAGACGGGAGTATTTCATTGGCAGCTGGATTGTGCAGTATTGATTAAGAGAGATTATAGTGGCACTAATCACGTGTGTGGACTGTGCAATGAGAGTATGACACAGTGACAGACAATGCAAATGAAACCCATGAGTCTAATATGGAACAGATTGTAAAACTCAAACTGTGAAATGTTGTTTCAACTCAAATCAATATTTCATGTCTATTTATTTATTTATTTATTTGAGAAGTAGTCGTGTAATAAGGATATCATACATTTAGATTATCTTTAAAGGGATACTCCACTTTTTTTGGAAATATGCTCATTTTACAACTCCCCCAGAGTTAAACTGTTGAGTTTTACCGTTTTTGAATCCATTCAGCCGATCTCCGGTTCTGGCGGTGCCACTTTTAGCATAGCTTAGCCTACATCATTGAAGTGCACAAGACCATTAGCATTTCTCCCAAAAAAATGACCAAAGTGTTCCGATTTTTTCCTATTTAAAACTTGACTCTTCTATAGTTACATCGTGCACTAAGACAGACGGAAAATGTAAAGTTGCAATTTTCTCATTCCTGCGTAATAATCAGGAAACTTCACTGCCGTACCATATCGAAACACTTTGGCAATTTTTTTGGGAGAAATGCTAATGGTCTTGTGCACTTCAATGATGTATGCTAAGCTATGCTAAAAGTGGTACCACCAGAGCTGGAGATCGGCTGAATGGATTCAACAACGGTAAAACTCAACAGTTTAACTCTGGGGGAGTTGTAAAATCAGCGTATTTCCAAAAAACGTGGAGTATCCCTTTAACGCAAAAGTATCCCATTCTGGGCTAAGTCAAGGGACCTTGTGTACGCACAAAAAAAAAAAGGCATTGAAATGTGTACGAAATTTTCCACGCACATATCGGGATTTAGAAAAAAAATAAACTAGGTGTAAATGTGCGCACCGTACAGACACTCTAGACTGTTTGTACATACTCTTTTACTGGAGTGAGCGAAGTAATGAAGCCAAACAGTGTGATTTAAACTCTGTTTTACATCTGATTTAATCATATTATTGGAGTTGAGCATGAAAACTTCATGAAATCTTTTTCCAGAAGTTACAATATTTTTATATGAATTTATAGAAATATTTCTAGTGGATGCGCCACTTTTGAACACTGAAAACTGTTTTAATGTTTTAACTCCAGAGAGGATTGCTTGGTGCATGATAACTCCTGAACCAAGCAGGAATTCCTGTGTTCCTCATGTTCTGAGAAAACATTTGCGTGCGAATAGTGATCAATGATGCGCAATAACTCTGTTTAAGCAGACGGCTTAGCAACATAGACAGAAGGCCTATAACTACCGACACTGAAGGACTCGCTCTGTGATCGAACGTTCCATTGGTCGGTTTGAATAAATCTAATGACAGTAGGCTATACAACCTCTGCTGGTGTGCTGTTGGTGTCCTGCACAGACAGACAGTAGCCGAATGACCATTTTCGGGGTCTTCCCAATATAATGAAAAATACTTTTCTATTTGAAGGATAGAATGGTAAGATATGCACGTTAAAAACCATCAAAAATGTATAAACCAAGCTAAAATACTGTATATGTTTAGTTTAAAGAAAAAATTGCAAACATTTAATTTAAATATGAATTAAAATAGCCAACTATTTGGCCAGTGGTAAAGACTCTTCTCTGAAAAATATTTTATACAATATTGATTTATT